AAAGTTGAGTTTAAGTTGAAAATAGGAAAATGATATTTTGGCTCAATTAATTAGTTGACAAATAAAACACGAAAAATTAAAATAAATTAGTTTGTTTAATATAAGAAAATTTAATTCTTATTCGATTTTTCGATTCTTTGTCTAAAATTGAGAATCAAACCACAAACTCATCGATTCTCGATTCTAATATACGTTGGGTATTTAACATAAAAAGAATCGTTCGATTCGATTCGATTTTGTAGTTTTATCCGGCCCTAATAATCGTAATTGTAAAATCAATAAGAATCAAGTAGAGAGAAATCTATTGTTGCACAAAGATTTCAACCACCAAAAATGGATGTTTAACAAATTATGCTAGGGGTGGCTAAAAAACTCGTTGAACCCGATAGGGTCGATACCCTTGGAGCCCCGCCCCGAATGGGATGGGATTTACCCGCATGGACGAGGTGAGGGTCATTGCCTTGAAGTGGAAACATAGTCCCCGCTCCGCTACTCGTCCCGTTTAAAATTAATTTCAAATTTAAGTTTTTTATCAAACAAAAATAATAGATTTATCATCATTTTTAAAGAGAACATAAATTATTTTTAACAAATTGGTAAAAAAGTAATAATATTTACTAACTAAAGACATTTAAAAAAAAGTAAAAAATAAAATAAATAAAAAATAAATGGGACAATAAATGGGGCAGAGGACTTGTCCCGATCCTACTTTAACTAGGTATGGGAGTGAGACAATGTAACAAAAATACTCGACAGGACAATGGTGAAAATAGTTGACCCGTCTCATACCCGTCTCGTTGTCATCCCTAAATTATATTAAGGTTTTTTGCAATGTTGTCAAAACCTGCCCGACCCGACCGGTTGGACTGGTAAAATGGGGAACGGGGCCAAATCATGTCCGATTTTTTATTATTGATAAAATCGTTTAAAACCCGCCTAACCCGATGAACCGATCGCGGTTTTCACGATTTTTTTTTTAATATTAAAAATGTCATGCTCATTTTATAGATGCAATTCTCTCCAAAGATTTCATAGACTTTCAATGTGAGATTGTACATTTTATATATGTTCTTAACTCTAATAGTTTCATAAACTTCCAATGTGGGATAGTGACATAACAACAAAAAATGTTAAAATGTTCATCAAAATCATTTTCAAATGTATGT